TAAGATTTTTTGGTTTTTTTTGTTTTGGTTGTGTTTTTTAGTACATTTATGGCCCTTTTTTTTTTTTTTTTTTAAATTTATTTATTATATAAATAGTGTTTGTCTGCATGTTTGCCTGTATGCCAGAAGAGGGCATCAGACCTTATTCTAGATTGTTGTGAGCAACCATGTGGTTGCTGGGAATTGAACTCAGGACCTCTGGGAGAGCAGTCAATGCTTTTAACCTGTGAGCCATCTCTCCAGCCCCTGTTAAATTATTTTTAACATGAAAAATTAAAAATAAGTAAGCTTAAAGAATGATTAGTTAATGTCCTTAGCTTCATAGGTACCTCCTTGATTGCCTGACCTGGCTAAAGTCTTATTTAGGTGTGGTGATGCATGCCTTTAATCCCAGCACTTGGAAGGCAGAGGCAGGGGGATCTCCATGACTTTGAGACCAGCCTGTTCTATAGAGTGAGTTCTAGGGTAACCAGGACTGTTACATAGAGAAACCCTGCCTCAACGAACAAACAAACTAATAGGATGTGTGTGTGTGTGTGTGTGTGTGTGTGTGTGTGTGTGTGTGAAGAGAGTATGTAGGAGAAATAAGAGGTGGCAAACAAGGATAATATAGTAGATATAAGCATTGTTTTACTTTAAATAATTCACCAACTTATTTTCAGATCTTTGATGCCTTTAAGTCTCGACTTCATGATTCTAATAGCAAAGTGAATTTGGTGGCTCTTGAAACAATGCATAAAATGATTCCTTTACTTGGAGACAACTTGTCTCCTATAATCAACATGCTGATTCCTGCAATTGTAGATAACAATCTCAACTCCAAGAATCCAGGCATCTATACTGCTGCCACAAATGTTGTTCATGCACTGAGTCAGCATGTAGGTAAGGAATCCAATTGGTATTCAAATTATTTTGATTTTACTTTCATGCTTTCTCATCCTTTGTATTTTTTATATGTTGAAATAATTAACATTTTAACTAATATATCTTAAACTTTTTTCATAGATTGTTTTAGTGATGAAATACTTAAATTGACTGTCTTTTTTCATTGAGTTCTAAATTTTTACCTCATGAAATGAAATGTATTATAAATTTAAATATAAAATATAACTAATCCTTTTGGGACATAACATGGAAACCTATTGAGGACATTATAAAACTTTAAAAATCATTCTAAAAGCATGACCTATGCATGCCAAAAACTGGATTTAGTGGGTGGAAAGACTACAAGAGTCAGAGGACTAGGATGTCTGCTATGAAATAGTGTCTTCTACATAGGACAGGGAGGGAGTTGCATCAATGTTAACAATATGGGTATAAGAGGAAGACTGGAACAATGTTATTACCATTTGACTTGCCAACATAGATAGGGGAAATCTCACAAGTCGCCACCCTTACATGAAGAGTCACAGGCAATTATTGACTGCTATGAGAGAGAGAATCCGTCTTCTCCTCAGACAAGCCCCTGATAGGTTATACAATCCTAAATGGTCAGGCCAAAGTACATTTGTATATGAGTACATGAACTCAGCTGGATTTATTTATATATACATAAAATTATATATGTAACAATAATGAAAAGGTCATAAAGTTGAGAAGGAGTGGAAGACGTATAAGGAATTGGAGTGGGGAGATTGTGTGACGGAATTGATGTAAATGTTGTACTCATACATGAAATTCTCTAAGAAAGTGTTAAAAACTTTAAATTGTAGTGATGAGATATCTCAGCAAGTAAAGGTGATTTTACTGGGTGTGACAATGTGAGTTCTATTCCTGGAACCTACATGATGGAAGGAAAAACCCCTCTAGCCTTTACAGAAGTCCCTGGCTGGCCTGGAAATTGCTATGTAGACCAGGCTGACCTCAAATACAGAGATCTGACTGTTTCTGCCTCCCCAGTGCTGGGATTAAAGGCATGTGTCACCGTGTCTGGCTAGATACAAGCTTTTAAGGGACTTTTCCCAGTAGCACGGTACAGAACACATCCAGTGTGAGATGCTATCTAAAAAGGAAGCTTATTAAAGACAAAGACTCTTCCCTGGATTTTCATTGTGTCTGCCTAGGATGTGACAACATTTCAGACTCCTTGAAGGAAAGCAGTCTTCTATGTAAGTCATTTTATATGTTCAGACAATTTTGCTTATGATTGGGATTTAATACAAAGATAGATACCAGACAAAATCTTTGGGTGAAAGCTCCAAGTCTGAAGGAACCAGATGCAAGCAAAACCCTTTTTTAGATGTCTCATTATGTAATGTGCACACACAAAATTAATTCTTTTAATTTGCAAAAGATTATATTAAGCTGATAAAGAGAAAGGATATATCCTGAGACAGAAACCTTAGCAAACTATACAGTAGACAAAGAGTTCATATCTAGAATATCTAAAGAACTCTCAAAACTCAACCTTGAGCAAAAAAGTCCAAGTAGAAAACAAGAAAAAGACATGAAGAAGCATTTCACTGAAGAGGACATATACATAGAAAATGTGCCTACAAAAATGTGCCCACAAAAGATATTCAGCATCACTTTGCCTTAGTGAAATGCAAAGGCAATTTAAGACACTAATCACTATATGAGTGTTAGAACAGCTAAATTTGTCATTTGTAAGTGTGACTGAAGCTAGAAAAATGGCTTACCAGGTAAGAAAGCTTGTTACTAAACCTGATGATTCCCAGGATCAATGGGGTGGAAGGAGAAAACTGACTTCTACTACACTTTGTCTGTGGCACACATGTGCCCATACAGTTACATGCACATAAAGGAAGAAAGTAGAAGGAACCGAATGCTTGTGGGCTGCAGAAGCAGTGGATCTTGAGAGTATATTTCTTTTTTGTTTGTTTGTTTGGGTTTTTGAGGCAAGGTTTGACTGTCTTGTTCTGTAGATCAGGCTGACCTTTAACTAACAGAGATCTGCCTGTTTCTGCCTCCAGAGTGTTGGCCACCACCGGCTGTCTGTTGAATACATTTCTAAGAGAGTATCAATAGTATAGCCACTCTAGAAGAATTTAAAGTTTCTTTAAAAGCAAAATATAAACTTGTGTAAAACATTACTTAGAAGCTGGGCGTTGGTGGCGCACACCTCTAATCCCAGCACTCAGGAGGCAGAGGCAGGTGGATCTCTGTGAGTTCGCGGCCAGCCTGGTCTACAAGAGCTAGTTCCAGGGCAGCCTCCAAAGCCACAGAGAAACCCGGTCTCGAAAAACCAAAAGAAAAAAAAAATTACTTAGACCATATCCAAGTCATAGCGTATCCTTAGAATACTATTTTGCAGTAGAAAGGAGCAAACTTGATATTTGGGTTGATTTGTATGGATCACAGAGGCATGATGCTATTTAAAAATAAACTGAGGTCATGCTCTATTCTGTTTGATTTATTCATATTTTCAAAAGGACAAAATCACTAGGTGATGAACATTCTAGTTGTTGCCTGCATTTATGTGTGATAGGGAAGCAAGTTTTGGTGTTTTTATGATTTAGTTCTTAAGTGTACTACAGGGGTACCTTTGTTGAAGGCAAGTCCTCAGTCCATGGAACTGATTGGAGGTTTTAGAAACTAATGAAGGCAGAACTCAATTATAACAAATGGTTAGATCATAGCAGACACTTCCTTGAAGGGAAGAGAGGACCCCAGCCTCTCTTCCCTTCCCTTCCTGAATTCCATGAGGTGAGCTGTTCACACCACTGTAAGCCTCCTTCATGATGTCCTGTACTGCCATTGGCCCAAAGTAAGGGCTAAGTGAGCCTGGACTCAACTGAAAGCATGAGTCTAAAGCAACCTTTTCTCCCTTAAATCCATTCTCTCATGTGTTTTATAGCTACAAAAGGGGCATAGTTAGCAAGATGTTTATGTGAAGGAGCTCTGTATCTTATTTGTTGCATGAATCAGAGTATGTGAACAAATGGAATAGAGCTGTGTATGTAGAAGGCTTGTCAGTACTATCTTTATAACTTCCTGTGAATCTTTTCAAGTTTGGAGGGAGAAAAGGAAAGGGGGAAATTATATAATTATAATAAAAATATTTTTCCTAAAAATCAAAATCACTTCATAAAAAACCTTTTTGTTGTTGTTTTATGATAAAGCCACCATCATTTGTGGTAGTTTCTTTAATGCTTTATGGATATTTTTATTTTCATCTTTTCCACAAAAATCTTACAGTTATAGAAAACTATAAGTAGGGAGGGAGAGGGACCTGGGACATGGGATTGACATGTAAAATAATTTTCTTCCTTATAAAAAAAAAGAAAACTATAAGTAGTGATTAAGTATGTGGGCCTCTTAATTTATTACATCTATACTGTAGAAATTATTTTTTCCTATTGTAGCTCATTCTTAGACATGTCTCTTTTCTATTTTAGATAACTACTTACTTCTACAACCATTTTGCACAAAAGCTCAGTTTCTAAATGGAAAAGCAAAACAAGATATGACAGAAAAACTTGCTGGTAATTAGTTTTAAGTAATAATTTCTAAAGTAATGTACTTTTATTATGAATTTTTATGGGCATATATTCATTGTAACCAATGCAGAGTTTATGGAGAGACATTTCCATGCAAGTATATCATAAAAGTTGACCATATGTTACTGCCCCGTCCTTTCCCCAGCTCCTTCCCATTATTCCCATTCAGTCTTCCAGGCCAGGCCAGGCATTGTCTACTTTCCTACTTTTCCTGTCCATTATCTACATGAAATTTATGACACACAGTGAGGGAAAACCGCAACATTTAGCTTTCTGAGTCTGATTTATTTTGCTTAAGATGATGATCACCAGTTATGTCCATTTTCCCACAAGTGATATTAAGGATAAACTGATGGGTATTTCCCTTTACTAGAGCTGTCAATTCCTTATCATTGCTGTACTGAATAGAAATAAATTGCATTAGTAGTCTAAAAAAGAACCTTTTAAGACATGTTCTCCAAAATATTCTTTAAAGTAAATCTAGGTCTGAGGGTGTAGTTTTATAATAGATTTCTGGCTTAGCACTCTGAAACACCTGGGTTTGATGCCCGGCACTGTGGATTCTTTAAAGAGGAGAGGGGAGAGGAAGATGGAGAATTCTGTCCTTTGTTAAATGGGCATTAAAGTCAGTGTGGATGCTCAAGGAAGATTGATACTTCCTGTTTTGTTTGATGAAAGGTCCATGAATTGAGCTTTATAAATTGTACTTAACTGCATTTGGAAAATATTGAGATTTACTATAGGTTTGATGTTTCTGTTTAACCTTTTTTTTTCTCCCTGAACTAGTTGTCGTGTGTGTGTGTGTGTGTGTGTGTGTGTGTGTGTGTGTGTGTGTGTGTCACTCTGAGATCCCAATATTTGTAAGTTTTGCCTAGTTTTTGTTGTTGTTTGTTGTTGTTGTTTGTTTTTAAAGGCAGAAGCCCATATTTGGGGTACTTATTATTTAACAGACCTTTAATTTACTTTGGGAAAGCGCTGACTGTTGCCCATATTTTATGTTACAGATATTGTCATGGAACTTTATCAAAGGAAGCCACATGCCACGGAACAGAAAGTGCTGGTGGTTTTATGGCACCTCTTAGGGACTATGACACATAGTGGCTCCCTGCCTGGAGCTGGCGGAAATATACGAACAGCCACAGCTAAATTGTCGAAAGCACTTTTTGCACAGATGGGTCAGAATTTATTAAACCAGGCTGCATCTCAACCACCACATATCAAAAAAAGTTTAGAGGAATTGCTCGATATGACAGTTTTAAATGAATTATGAGTTTTTGATGAAATAGTTATGATGAACAATTTACATAATGACAACTGAAATCTTTTTAAAGCTATATTTTGCATTTTGAGTGCCTGCATCTCATGTCCAGTAAATTAAGTCAGTGGCTATGTTTATTTGCAGCCTATTTGTGAGTACAGATCTGTCCTTCTAGCCATCACATGAAAACCTGAAATAATTAATATAAGCTATAAGTCATGAAATCCATGACGCCTGGGATGAACTAAATTTTAAATGTTTTTGAGACAAATCCTGCTCATTTGCACTATTCTATAGAAACTGCAATTTGTTGCCCCATATGTACAATTAGATTTGTAATTAAAAATATACTTTTTATTATGTAATCATGTTCTGCTATGTCTCATTACTCTACCTTGTTTTATGAATTGGAAGAAAAGTCTTTTAACTATGTTATTCCAAAATAAGTTTTGTGTGCTATTTGTGAATAACATGTTTCTGAATCAGTCTGCTAATATGATTATGCAGTATTAGCTTGCTATTGCTGCTGTGTTACTATGGTATATTTGCTAAACTTTTGGGTTTAATCATCTGCACAATTGTGAAATTTAACAAGTTATAATAAAGCATGATGACCAAAGCTTAGAAAACATTAAACATTTGAATGCACGTTTGAGAAACGTGTTGAATGTAACTTTCTTATTTTTTTGTGTGCAAACACTAATTTTTTAATTTCTGTATGTCTGTCCATTTATAAAGGTGTTATTTTGCTGCCCAGTTGTGTAATTCTCAAAAATAGTGCCAGGTCTTCTATAGTTTTTTTTCAGAATTCTTGGGCTTACGAGTACTGTATGCATCTTAAAGAAGAAAAGGAATGTTATAAAATAAAAGGATTTATTTCTGTAGATGTGTGACAGGTGTCCTGTTTTTCTAACTCATATATGTTAAAATGAAAACAATGTTTTAGTACTGACCATTCTTTCATTTCATCAGCCCTAACAATAGTAACCTAAGAGTAGACCCAAGTTGTCATTCTCAACTTACAGGAAATTAGCTACATGACATGTGAGTCTCTTCTCCTTCCCTGATTTCTGAGAGCTAGGCTGGATGCATTTTAGGTCTTGCCTTGTTGTGTAATTCTGATTCCCTGGGTGTCTGTGCTTACTTAGTGTGTTTCCAGTCTATCGGCCCCCTCTGGGGAGGGGATTTTCTGGGAAGAAGCCGGGGTCTTCTGTACTCACAGATGGCAGTTGTACACTCCACAGCTCTCTCCTCCACCCTGCAGCCGTTGTTGCCAGGTCTGAAACAGTGCTATATCTAACTTTGGGGGAAACAGCAGAAGAATAAATTTTGAAACTATCTGAAGATAGGCGAAAGGGTGGTAAAGACTTAGCATTACTTTATATAATTCCATATTTTGTATTTTCTTATAGGTAAACTATAGGCCTGTACTTAAAGTTTGTTAATTATAGACTTTTTCCGAGTATGGTCAGAGAACAAATATTTTTAAGGAACTCTGAAGATAAAACTTCTGGATTCAAATTACAGCTTTGTATTAATTCTAGAACCAAGTTTATATTCAAATAATTGTAAATTACATAAGCAAAGGGATATGTGGTGATATATTATTTATGAAAGATCAAAATGGAAAGCTACCTGCAGCCATAGAGGCAGGCAGTGGTGGTACACACCCTAATCCCAGGACTCGGGAGGCAGAGGCGGATGGATGTCTATTAGTTCCAGGACACACTGAGATACACAAAATTGGTCAGTCTAAAAGAGAAGCAGCTCACGAAAAGGATCACACGCCTTTAATCTCAGCACTAGGGAGGTAGAGAAAGGAGTGATATGGGGGGGGGCAGAATATAAGGCAGGATTGCAGTCTGAGGCTTGGTGGAGACAAGTGTGGTCTGCATTGCACTCTGAGGATTCATGGAGCCGGGATCACCCATTTCAGTCTGAGGTAGAAGATGTAAAAGCTAGTGACTGGCTGCTTTGCTTTCTCTGATCTTCAGCTTGAACCCCAATATCTGGCTCTGGATTTATATTATTCATGTTATAGGGATATATGTTGCATATATTTATATATAGAATACAACATGATGCTTTCCTATAAATACTTTTTTGTGTGTGTGGTGAAAACACGTAAAGCCTCTAAAATCATTTGCAGGGTACATTATTATTAATGGAAATCATTATGATATACAACAGATATACAGATCTTACTCTCACTTCCTTTAGTACAACCATTTTAGGCTACACATTAGATCATTTTATTTTATTTTTTTAAAAAGATTCATTTATGCCTGGCGTTGGTGCCGCACACCTTTAATCCCGGCACTCGGGAGGCAGAGGTAGACAGATGTCTGTGAGTTCGAGGCCAGCCTGGTCTACAGAGCGAGTGCCAGGATAGGCTCCAAAGCTACACAGAAAAACCCTGTCTCAAAAAAAAAAAAAAAGATTCATTTATTCATTATGAGTACAGTGTTCTTTCTGCCTACAGAGCAGAAGAGGGCACCAGGTTTGATGATAGATGGCTGTGAGCCACCTTGTGGGTGCCAGGAGTTGAGACCAGGTCCTCTGAGAAAATAACCAGTGCTCTTAACCTCTGAGCCATCTCTCCAGCCCACATTAGATCATCTTAGATCACAAGTTACATCATGTTTGTGGCTGTTCCTGGTTTATTTCACTTAGCATAATGTTCTCCATTTATACTCAAACTGCTGCAAATGACAGGGTTTCCTTTTATGTTTATGTATATAACATATTTTCTTGATCCACTGAAGGATGCTTAAATGGATGTCTTAGAATTACTGTGGCTGTGATGAAACACCATGCCAAAAAGCAAGTTGGGGAAGAAAGGATTTATTTTGCTTACATTTCCAGGACAGGAACTCAAGCAGGACTGGAGACAGGAGCTGATGCAGAGGTCATGGAGGAAGTGTTGCTTACTGGCTTGCTCAACTTGCTTTTTTTTTTTTAATTTTAAATTTTTTTTTTATTTTACATACCAACCACAGTTCCCCCTCCCTCCTCTCTTCCTGCTCCCCCCCCCCTTCCTCCCACTCCATCTCTTATTCACTCAGAGGGTAAGGTCTCCCTTGGGGAGTCAACAAAGCCTGGTATATCAAGGTGAGGCAGGACCAAGCCCCTCCCGCCTGCATCAAGGCTGAGCAAGGTATCCCACCACAGAGAATGGGCTCCAAAGCCACTCATTGTGGCTTTGTTTGGTTGTTTACTTGTTTGATTTTGAGATGGGATCTAGCCTTGAAACAATGATCCTTTTGCCAATTCCTCCCCTGTGTTGAAATGACAAGTATGAGCCTTTAAAACCAGGACTCAGGAGGCAGAGACAGGCAGATCTCTGTGAGTTCAAGGCCAGCCTGGTCTACAAAGCTACACAGAGAAACCTGTCTCAAAATAAATAAATAAATAAAAAATAAATAAAACAAATATGAGCCTCTTCACTTGACTCTTTGTGTGTTTACAATGTATTTCTTTAATGACTAGTGATGTTGGACATTTTTTTTTCACAAGCCTGCTGGCCATTTCCTTGCTCTTTGTGTGTGTGTGTGTGTGTGTGTGTGTGTGTGTGTGTGTGTGTGTGTTGTATATGTATGTACAAGCACATAAGCAACATCATGTGTGTAGAGGTCAGTTGGAGGACAACTTGCATGAGTCAATATTCTCCTTCCACTATAGGAGCTCTGGGAATTGAACTCAGGTTGTCAGGATTAATGGCAAACATCTTTCTTCTGACCCATCTTGCCCTCCCATTTATGTTCTTTTGCTGTTTGAATCATGTGCACATTAAAAAAAATAGGATTCTTTGTTTTCTTGCTAGTTGTTTGAATTCCCTTTCAAAGTTGGCTATTAATCCTTCATCAGCATTATGGTTTGAAAATATTCATCTCATTTCAAGTGTTTTCTTTACGCTGTTGATCAATTCATTTTATTTATATTATTTATGATTTATTAAAGCTTGCCTGAAGATTCAGAAAGCAAAGTCAGCCTCAAGCTATAGAGAGCAGGCAGTGGTGGTACACATATTTAATCCCAGGACAAAGGCAGATGGATCTCTCTTGAGTTCAAGGCCACCAGGGCTACAGGAGAGTGAATCAGTCTAAAAGGGTAACAGACCTCACATCAAATCCCAGCACTTGAGACATATAAAAGATAGGATCAGAGTCTTCAGTAGTCACTCTCAGGAGTCTCCAGCCACACTGAGGAAAGCATAGCAGTCTGGGATTGCAATCTGGGGTTTAGTGGAGCCAGGATCCCCTTTCATTCTGAGATAGAGGTATGAGCTATTGGCCAGCTGCCTTGCGTTTCTGATCTTCAGCTTGAAGCTCAAACTGCAATATCAGTCTCTGGGTGTTTTATTTTTCGTGTTACATCTGTGCAGAAGTCTTGTTGGGGTTTGGTTTAAGTTAGTCTGGTCTGGACCCAGTCTCTTGATACCTAGGGTCTCCCATGTTGCTCAGGCTACTCTGGGGTTCATGTTGATTCTTCTGCCTCAACCTACAGAGAGCTGAGATTATGGGCATGTGCAGGAGCTTTTCATTTGGATGCACTTTATGTATTTCTATTTTTGAGGTCATATTTTAAAGAAACCTACAATACTTAAGTTTTTTGGGGGGAGGGTTCGAGACAGCGTTTCTCTATGCTTTGGAGGCTGTCCTGGAACTAGCTCTTGTAGACCAGGCTGGTCTCAAACTCACAGAGATCCATCTGCCTCTGCCTCCTGAGTGTTGGGAATAAAGGCGTGCGCCACCACCACCTGGCTTTAAAGTTGTTTTTTTTTTAAGATTTGCTTATTTTTATTTTACTTTCATATATGCCTATGTATGTTTGGTGTTTGTGAAGGTCAGAAGAGACCATCAGATCCCCTGGAAAGTGGAGTTATAGATGCTTATTAGCCACTATGTGGGTGCTGGGAACTGAACCCAAGTCCTTTGCAAGAACAGTGCTCTTAAAACCTTGCCATTGTTCCAGCTCTCCAGCTCCACTTTCATGAGATTTTTCTCATGAAAACCTGGAAATGACTGAGCTTGGAACATCATGCTAAGTTAAATAAGTCAGGCTGGAAAAGGAAAGTATTGCATCCATCTCACACTGAAGGAACAAAAACAAAACCAAAAACTAAAGATATAGTGATAGAGAATAAAGCAGACAGGATGGGATAGGAAAACGGTGGTTATATGGCTTTAAAATGTGAAATAGTGGATACATATGAACAAATGCAGATAGCTGATGTACAAGAGGAGGACTGTAGTTAATAGTATTATGTTAATAGTCGTTTAAAATTATTTGGGGTTCTTGTTGAGTGAATATAATTCAGTTGCTTCTGCCCCATACATACACAGACATCAAGGAAACCCATGTGAGGTAATGGATGTGTTAATTTGCCGTAGAAGCACTTTACTATCCATGAATCCCATAGTATGCTTTAAAAAGAAGGAGGGAGGAGGAGGAGAAGAAGAGCGGTGGAGGGTTTCTTCCCAAATGCTGAGATTACAGGACTGTGCCACTATAGCTGGTAGCTGGGTGTGGTGATATATTATTTATGACTAATTAAAGCTTGCCCAAGGATTCAGAAAGCAAAGTCAGCCACAGGCATTGCAACCAGGCATACACCTTTAATCCCAGCAGGCAGAAGCTACGACTCAGAATTCAGAGGTAGACTGATTTCTCTGAGTTCAAGGCCAACCAGGAATACACATGATGGAATCGGTCTAAAAGAATAACAGATCACATGCCTTTAATTCCAGCACTAAAGAGGTGTAAAAGATAGAGGCAGGGTCTTCAGTATTGAGTATGAGGCATTCATTCTCCAGCCACGCTGAGGAGAGACTACAGTGTGAGGCTTGTGGAGAGCTCCTGGAGACAGGATCAGCCCTTTCAGCC